CATGTCTATCTCGCTTTTCCTCAGCACTCTTAGACTCCATAATCTGTATACAATGTGAAAAGTGTTGTCTGATGATAAGAAGCATTTTGACAATCATATCCAAAGTCAATGTAATAAGAAAATATTCTAACTAATGCACTTTTTAAAAAGTAAGAAATTAGGAAAAATAAGTTACAATTTTGTTGTTTCAATATCAAATTCAACTGAAGTATATCAGTTCCATAAAAAAGAATTGATCAGATTACAGTTTAGATGTTATAAAATTTTTGACACTTCGCCAATACTGTAAATATATTTTCAACAGTATAGATCTGATTTGCGCTTTTCTGAAAGTGCTAGATTTGATTCTCATTTGAGGCTGTATTCAATGGTACTTACTTGTGAAGTAGCAGAGCCCCAGAAATAAGAACTAGAATAGAAGATATGACCAAGAACACTACCAGCGGAGTCTCATCTTGGGAAGGTGCATCAGTTACTGAATTAAATATAATGAAATCTTATCGTTAGAAAACGCTTACAACCCGGGACTCGGTTAGGTTCCATCATAAAGTAACTTTAATTCATGTCTCTTTCAATCTCTTTTATGGCCTCTGGATAGGTTTTTGTCTGTCGATTATTTTAGATAGAGACTACATTGTAGTACAAATTTTAGCTTTCATACCTATTTTCTTCCATAAAGTGTCAATCACAAAAAATAATGAAGATTATAAATGTAGATAATTTGCAAAGAAAATCAATAGAGATATGATAAAATGAAAAGTGAGGAATGAGATGAACATGTATAATAAAAAGTCGTTTTTGTAATAGGTTGTTTTCCATTATTTTCTTCATACTTTTGGTCAAAATTTTACCTCATTGTAGGCAAATTAGATTGCCTCATTGTATAGCTTAAAACGAATATTACTGTTCACTAAGATATATTTGTGTTTATATAATTAGATATATGTATGTCATAAGTAGTCTACATCTCCTGATAACGTTTACAATGTTTCTAAATCTCTCCACACAAGATCATCCCCCCTCTTTTTTTGCACTTTCATGTATTTAACATGTTGTATAATAATTTGCTTTAATGAGATATTCTTTAAGGAGCAAAACAACAACCCACAAATTTATCTGAAGGGATACTAAAGTAATTTCACATTAAAAAACAATTTGGGAGGGGCAAACCTCTTAATTTTTGATGCCCTCATTACATTTATCTTTGCTAAGGCATACCCCCTTCCCCTTTCTCCGACGCCTATGACAATATGTTTGAATAACAAAGTAACACACAGTGTTTAAAGTCTTCTTACCTGGACACGGTAGCGTTGTGCTTTCTGAAGAATTAATGGTACTACTCATTGTCATAATAATCTTGTTCTTTGTATAAACGTTCAGAATGTGTAGCCATTACACATAGCTGCGATTGTTTCCTCTTAAAGTTACAATCCATCAATGCGGAAGTCATGCATTGATTCTGGCGCTAGATAAAGTATTTGTGAGTACGTATACTTCAATATGTAAAATTACAAGGTAGTATACTATGTAGTAGACTAAATAGTCGAATATACATAAAATATATAGACATAACGAACAGTATTCAAGCTCAAAAGTCCTTTAAATATTGCAAATTTGGAGCAGCGCAATCACGGACCTCCGAAACATCAGAGATGGGATCATTTATACAACGATCAGATATCAGAACTAAATTGAAGCACATTTTACTTTATAAATACAAAAGATAAAGAAATTATAGAGATAACCCTCTATGAAAGGTAACGCTTCTGATGTGAATTATAAATAATTGATTGGAATGGACAATTTAATCCTTAGTCCCCTTCTTCGCCTTCATAGTGTGGTTCCGTCCCGTGGAGATCCGGGTTAGAATAGGTCCTCAGTACCCCCTTGAATGTCGTAAAAGGCGACTAAATGGGGCGGTCCTTCGGATGAGACCGTTTAAACCGAGGCCCCGTGTCATAGTAGGTGTGGCACGATAAAGATCCCTCCCTGATCAAAGGCCCTGAGTGCCGAGCATAGGCCCAAATTTGCAGCCCTTCATCGGCAATGGTGACGTCTCCATATCAGTGAAATATTCTGGAGAGGGACGTTAAACAGTATACAATCAATCAATCAATCATAGTGTGGTTCCAAAGTTCCCTAGGATTTACCACTTACAAAAAGTATATATTAGAATACCATTTATTTACTTTAAGTGCATGTATAGGGTTTATGGATAGTATCAGGAGAAAATCATCCTAAAGAATAATAAACAATATGTGTTTGTGAAACACTATGCGCCCGGCGGCAACAAAGTTCGAAAAAGCCATTTTTAGCATATAGTTCACAGTCAAGGTCACAAGCTCATTGACCTTGTTGTCTCATAAAAATGCTTAATTAGTGGAGTATGCATGCCAAACATGAAGTCTCTGTCATACATGGTTCAAAAGTTATGGCGAAAGTTCGAAAAAAGCTATTTTTAGCATATAGGCCACAGTCAAGATCAAAAGGTCATTGACTTTGGTGTCATTTAAAAATAATTAATTGGTGGAGTATGCATACCGAATATGAAGTTTCTATCTCTTACATTTCAACAGTTATGGTGAAGGTTAACGTTGACAACAGACAGACAAACTGAGTCAAGACAAAAACACAGTATGCCTCCGATCTATCGATCCTGGCGCATAAAATTGTGATGGTGTATCGGAGACATGCAGTATATTTAGAATATTGCATTCTCATTCTGAGTGCGAACCAACCGGGGACTAAAACGACTATTTTCAAGAATAACATGATGTTTTTGTGAAATACTATGCGCTCGGCGGCAAAAAAGTTCGAAAAAGGTATTTTTAGAATATTGGTCAGTAAAGGTCACAAGGCCATTGACCTTGATGTCATTTGAAAGAACTTGGAGTATGCATATGAAGTATATAGATCACAGTCAAGGTTTCAAGGTCGATGATCTTGGTGTCATTTGAAAGAGATTAAAGAGATGTTTTATTGAAAAATGACTTGTATGGGACGTCTAAGGGCCCGAACTTTTATTTAAACATCGTGGGGAATGATTAATTTCATAATAAAGTGTTTAAAAGTCATACATGTTGATGTTATTGATTTTGGTAAAATTTGTGATTTCAAACTTAAGCATCCATAACTGATTCACAACACTTCTCGAATATATTGTAGAATAGTATCCCTGAAGTGTCTCCTTTACTGCTGTTAATATTTTTCGAAGACTAAGGACTTGGTAGAACACCAAACCCGCTGTGCGTCTTTGTAAGGATTTATTTGTCCAATGCCTTTGTCAGTATCAACTAGCATGAAAAACGTTTGTCAGCATTTGACTCAATGATAAATTTTATTTGCTGACAATATCAATGTATCTACCATACAACTTAACGAAATGTTGACTAGAGTTTTTCATACTAATTGTTAGTCCACTATTTATACACTGAATTGACGACAGATTTTCCCGTTACTTCCGGATTATGACAAGGAGCACACAGCCGATGTGACCGATCAACAGGGGATGCTCACTCCTCCATGGCATCTGATCCTACCTCTGATGTTTTGAAGGTCCGTGTTTGCTGTGCTCCTATTTTGTATTGTTTTATGGACGTTGATATTGAATACTGTCCGTTATCTCCATATCCTTCATTGTATATAAGGAAATCAAAAACCTTTGAAAACACACACAAAAAATATATAACCAGTTATTACTAGTATTAAAATGCTTTAATTCTGCGTGCAAATCTATAAAAACAATTATGCAGAAAGTTAGTAAAAAAAAAGTAGATAAAATATTATCCAATTCCAAAAAGAAGAAACTTTTTTTTTACATAAGTTGACTGAAAATGAGTTTAAATATTTATATTCCATGAATATAGCTTCCTCAGAAACATTGAGCTCTTGTTTGATAAAATCTTTGAGGGATTCTTCAGTCAAGGTCATCCCGTCCTTCTTAACAACAGCTGCACAAGGAATGTCGTCAGCGTGTACTTCGTCTTTTATGGAGAAGACCACCACTTCCTTAACACCGAGATTCCTTTTAATAATTTCTTCGAGAAAGGATGGCAGAACCTTAGCTCCAGGGATTTCCATAACGTCAGACACTCTGCCAAATACTTCAAGGTAACAAGAAGAATTAATTTGTCCGAAATCATCTGTTTTATACCATCCAACAGGAGTAATAACAACCGCGGTTTTTTCGACTTCATTGATGTAACCTGGGAATGGTAAACAGCTGCGCGTAAGCACTTCTCCTTTTGTTCCAAGGGGAACCGTCATTACGTTCTTCCCTACAATTTTTATTTCCACCCCAGGTAACGGCGATAGACCAATGCATTTGTCATTAGGCGAGGTATACAGCCTTCCAGCTGTAAAACTAGTTTCTGTTGAGCCGTACAGAACTAAAAGGGCGTCGCATCTTTTCCCGATGGCTGATAAGCAAGAGGCCGGGACAGGCTGACCTCCCGTGAAAACTGTTGGAATTTTCCAAGAAACATCTTCTGTCATTAGTAGTTCCATAAGGAAAGGAACGACAATAACAGCGATTTTGGGCCTTGCTTCCTCTATTATACTTGAGGTGTATTCCATAGCCTTTGCAATACTTGGGAATAGAAGAGTATTCTGCTGGGTTATAAGTTTTCCTCCTCTTACAAGAGCTACACTCGGGTATCCCCCTATCCAATAAAATGGCCGATCATTGTACAATGAAAACTGTCCATCTTCCTTACCATCTCAGCCACCTGCATGTAGTAGATTATATACATATTCAATAATACGATGATGACTATATTGTACAGCCTTTGGTAATCCTGTACTCCCGAATGTAAGAATACTAGCACCTGTGTCATCTGGGTCTACTTCTGGTAACTTCATATTCTCCGTGGCATAAACATCTTCTTTCGTAAAACAAGCGTCAGAAGACTTCAGAGGTGTCTGTAACACGACCCATTTTACAGATGGTAGATCAGAGCCGACAACACCAATTTTGGGATCCACTTGTAGGAATTTTCGATATATTTCCCAGTGAACGTCATTGTCTCCAGGATCAAAAATTTGCATTTTACGGCCTCCAACTTTGCTGATAATTCTTTTTCTGCTCTCCCCAGACTTGTCATGAAAATTGAAGTGTAAGGGACACGCCCCTGCAAGCTGTGCACCAAACGTCTCACTAGCCATTCAATAGTGTTGTTTCCACCTATTCCTATTACGTCACCCTTATTTATCCCAAGCTTCATAAGTCCTTTTGCTAGCAATACTGCTTCCTGGTACATTTTTCCATAGGTGATAGAGGTTCTTGGCTTGCCAAAGCTGTACAAAACACACGCTTCTTGATCTGGCACTTCAGTTGCCCACTTTTGTAGAAGTTTGGTCAGCCTTGTATACGGTGCTTCGGGGGTTACTTTAGATCTTAGATAGCTTTGGTCCAAATTCATCTCTGACACTTCCATGATCTCACATTTATTTCCCAAAGGTACGTGCCTCGACACAACTTTATGTACAGGAATTTAATCTTTGCCTTCGAATTCTTTTACTGTTATATTGAGTATGGAAGCCAACAAGTGTCGAACGCTAAAAATTGCAATTGAAATTGAAAGTAAAATATAAAACGGTTGCGTACATTGTATTCACTTTAACTCGAAATCAAACTAAATATTTCTAAAAAAAGAAAAGAAACGTGAATGTTTGAAGACTAAATAAAAACAAAAAAATTCGTTAAAAATCTCTCTAATTGATGAAGTAGACAAAGAATGTGAAGTATATGAGTGGTGAGTGTGGTAATGACAATTTAAACTTTGATTCTGCTATAGGTTACGGAAAGAGTTCAAAAGATATTGATACCAAACATAAATCATTTTGAAAACCATCCTTAATTACTGTAAAACATTTTTTAAAAGAATTCCCGTGAACAGACGACCTTCGAGTTTGTTTGATGATAAATTTAAACGCGTACAAAAGATACAAAATTTTGAGAGCTACAAAGATGGCATCGACATTCCTTGGGACCCCTATCGGGTGTTTGAATCTTACAGTCCATGTTTATTTGAAATGAAGAAACATATTTTTAGTCAGTTTGAAGTGAGTTTGAAGATTAAAAAAAGAGAAAAATATATCGAATGTTGACAGACATTTTTCACACAAATTGTTAAGACATTTTATTCACTGAATTTTTCTACGATTTTTTCTGTTCGTTATAATAGGAAGAAACATGAGGCGGATATGAGTGGTCAACAAGGGCTGTTTACTCCTCAATGGTGCCTAATCCAGCTCTCATGTTTATAGAAGTTTGTAATTTTTCTATCCTTTAACTTTTTACAACTTACTGAACTGCGACGCAACATACATTTTATGTTCATGTCATAGAAATATGACGTTACCGTTTCCCCGCAAGCACCCTATAGCGTGATACACACGTTCCTCAAAAGTATAGCATTAATAATTATGACGTGTAATATTTTGATAGGAATATAGCTTTCTTTTTGAATGAGATTTTATTAAGTATAAAATGGAAGGGAACTGTGATTAAATTAAAAATTAAATATACTTTTGAAAGTGCGTGAAAATGAGTGATTGCCGGGAAACAGTAGATGCATGATTTTGCGTTAGAAATAGAAAATGGTATGTGCGTTAAAATGCGTGAATGCGGGGAAGGGGGTTAAATGGACACTTGAGCTTCATTTAAATTCTTTATCATCGAATTTCACATTCAGTTCCTTTCAATAATTCAAAAATTATTCTCCACAATCAATCAATAGACCTCAAAAACTGATTAATTAAACAGTGTTGTCTGTACATAGGTATATGAATTCCTGAAACAAGTGGGACTAGGGCTTTCATATTTCACAGTTGTAACTTTATGATAAGACCCTTTTTTTGTGTACAACCAACTTTGACCTTATGACATTGACCTTGGAGTTTGAGACACTTTTACCCCAAATTCCACACTTTTACGTTAGCATTAACTTTTGGGCGGTATGTGCTAGGACTCTATATCGAAGTACGGCATGATAGACTAATAGAGTTCATTGATTTGCAAAGGTAATGTCTATAAAATCTCAGAAGAAAGGGGGTGTAACAGCACCATTGGTCAGGGAAAAGGAAAGTATTTTTTTGAATTTATAGATATCTCTGAAGGTTCAACTGTTATTCACGCAGATGTAAATTTTTGCCAGTTTTGGAGGATTTTTTAATATCATCATAAGAATGTTCTCGATGTGTATGGTATTTCCTGTATATACATGAAAAAATTTAGTACTTTATATCAGGTAGTTAAAAAGTGTGTATTTTAAAGCAGAATGCATAACCCTGCTCCTTCAACTGGCGTTGAAATTTCATAAATATTATGGATTCAACAGATCTGTTGAAAATTACGCCATACGATGGGTCAGATATGAAAAAGAAGACATTGAAACTTTGTCAGAATGGATTAAATGTATCAGATCCATTTTAAAGTCGTGTATTAAAAGACTGAGGGGCAATATGAAAACCATCTATCCGTCTGTGTTCAATAATTCAGACGTGAAAAAAGAAATAGATAGATTACATGATCAGTACGTACTGGTCCCTGCCGACAAAGCAGGTAACAATATTGTCTTCGTTTGTAAGACTCATTATGCAAATTATATATTAGAAGAACTTGGATTTAATTCTACAAGTGGTAATCCTTCTTATACTCATACTTCCCTTCTTCAAAATCATATTATTGAACAATATGTAAGTTTTGAATATTTTTAATATTCCGCAGAGCCAAAATGAATTTGAACTCCCTATATATATATTGAATCCCGAAACTTCATAAGAATCCTTACAAACAAAGATACATTGCGGGTTCCCGTAAATGTTCAACCATGCCTCTTTCGTTACATCTCACTAAGATATTGACAGAAATGAAGAAAAAACTTCGAGTACTGTGCAACAATATATTGAGGAAGTGGTGTGAATCAGGTGTGGATACTCAAAAATTCCAAAGAACTTTTGGACAATTTGAAATCACAAGATTTTATCAAAATCAACAGCTTAAAAAATTACGACTTTTCAACTTTATACACAATCATTCCCCCACGATAAATTAAAGTCCAGACTTCTTGCTATCATTAACAGCTGTTTTTTTCAGTAAAAATAGAACTCGTAAATTCTCTTACCTGGTCATTGGTCATTTGCAAAATTATTTTGTTAAAACACACTCTGATAACACACACAAGTACTCTGAAGTTGACATCAAAAAGATGCTTGAGTTTCTGATTGAAAAAATCTATGTGGTTTTTGGAGACCAGGTCTTCAAACAATCTATTGGAATTTCCATGGGTACCAATTGCGCTCCCTTATTAGCAGACCTATTTTTGTATTCATATGATGCAGAATTTGTGCATATGATGCAGATCTTATGCGTGAAAAGAAGAAAACACTTGTTGTGGCCTTCAACTCGACATTTAGATATATCGACGACGTATTTTCAATTAACAATGGCAATTAACATTCCTACTTCAATACGATATATCCGGAAGAGCTTGAGATAAAAGATACCACAGCTTCTGATACATCTGTTTCATACTTGGATATTTTACTTGAAAAAGACGTTAATGATAATCTCACAACCAAGCTATATGATAAACGTGATGACTTTAACTTTTCTATCGTCAACTTCCCTTACTCACGCAGCAATAAACCTTAATCACCTGCATACGAAGTGTGTAATTATCTCTCAGTTGATTCGATACGCAAGGGCATGATCTACATATGAACATTTTCTTCAACGAGGTAAATCATTGACAAGCAAGTTGATGAAACAAGAATATTCGTTTAAAGTCATCATTTCGTAAGTTCTATGGTAGATACAATGACCTTGGCAGCAAATACAATTTATCATTAAGTCAAATGCTGACTGACTTTTTTCGTGCTAATGGTTAGTCCATTATTTTTACATTGAATTGACGATGGATGTTTTGGAGGTCCGTGTTTGCTCTGCTCCTATTTTGTATTGTTTTATGGACTTTGCATTGATATAGAATACTGTTCGTTATCTCCATATCCTTCTTTCATACAGATGTAAATTTAAGTTTAAATGTGAGAGCTAAGGGAATTGAATTTATATAGTTAGATAACGTTTGCTTTTCGTGCTTCTATGCTATGTTTTTGGATTTGTAAAAAAATTCAAAGTTTACAGGTATCAGAAACATATCATGCCATTTTCGGAACAAAACCTTTGAATGATAAAAAACAATCAAAAATATAAGAATACATTTATGCTTCTCAATGAATAATTATTCATTGGGATTCTGCAAGCCAAAAATAAATCCATACCAGATACATTGATAATGATGCTTTTATTAAGATATGCAATCAAATATATGTTGGAAAGGATTAAAGTGCATAAAAAAAATTCCCCCTACTTGCATTAGAAAGTATGAAAGAATATCAGGAGACACATATATAAGGTTTTATTGTATAAAAAAGTAGGGGGTCAAAATTCTGTAGGACTCATTTTTCAACGTGTGTGGAGTCGTGGAATTACTGGTCTGGAATGTTTTTCTACAGTCGAAAAATGACCCTATTTGTCGTAGAATATTGACCGAGGGTCATTTTCCTACGTAGAAAAATGACCCCCTGGTCAATATTGTATTGGGGTCACTTTTCGTTGTTACACCGGCTTCCTCCTCGCAATACTCTGGAATACTAATATTCCTTTGAGGGAATTCTATCATTGGAGCCAAAGTCCCGCTCCTTATCTCTAATACTTGTTATGTATCCGACAATTTCTCCGATTGGTTTGGACAACATACTCATATACTACTGGGATTTCAGCAACCGCATTTAAAGTCAGCATTATTAAAATTCTTTATTATACCTCTATTGATAATACTTGAATTTGATTGGCTGGTAAGAAAACTTTAAAACACAACAATGACTCCAAATGGTACTGTTTACAGCAATACTGACCTAGGAATCGTTGCGTGTGGGATATAATAACCCGGTCATTATTTTAAATGATCGCTAAAAATGACCGCTTAATCAAAAATTCGATTTTGAGTGAAGTTAATGCATGAAATAATAATTATTCGAAAAAAAACAGCATGTTTTAAAATTGTGCGTGGTCTGTTTTGCATTACCATACAGAATACGGTAAAATATCTATCGCTTCAATATATCGTTACAATTCAGTTCAATAGAATGTAGAGGCGGCTCTTTAAAGAGATGAATTCTGTGTTAGATTTTGACTGTGTAGAGGAAAAGTAATCGTTAGTTATAACAATGTATGTCGCTATCAACTAAATATTGTTTTAATCAGTAAATCATGTCAATGCAAAAACTTACACGACTTGCAGACGTCAATGTAAACAAATTCACTATCCGGTCTGTAGCGAATCCCGATCCCGATCAAAGAAAGAATTGATAATGGTTAGAGATTCATACTTTTCAATATATATCGGTATAATAAAACAATTATGACTCGGCCGCTACGCGGCCTCGGTCAGGACAGGTCACCTCGTGGGCCAGGTCTCGGGTCCTTATTTCACCATGTTGACCTCACAAGGGGTAATTAATTGTATAATATGGGTGTAATAATGGCCATGTTTACAAACACATTTCGTTGTTTGTATTTTGGCTGATATTTTTCATACCTATTGATAGTTTTTTTTTTGTTTTTGCACTAAATTTGACCACAGAATATTCCTTTAATCAACAAATAATTTAGTAGAAATATCATTTATCTTTAATAAAACTTGAAGAACAAATATGATATGTTGTATTTCATAACTTGTAATAAGCATTCATCGCACACTCACTATCTTCTAAATACTCTCTCTCTCTCTCTCTCTCCTTTTCATAAATTCAACTTTCAGATGTATTTTTGTGTTTCTTTTTGGATTATGTAAATATGTAAATAAATACTTTAAGGTTTCACAGAAGGTCAGCATATCAAAAAATTATTTTTACAATAGCTCCTAGATACTAAAAAAATCTAAAGAGCTTTTGGACACTTTGAAATCACAAGACTTTACAAAAATCAACAGCTTAAAAACTTATGACTTTTCAACTTTATACACAACAATTTCAAACGACAATTCAAAATCCAGGCTTTTTGATATCATTGACAGCTGTTTCTTCAATAAAAATGGAACTCGTAAATTTACTTATCTCGTCATTGGTCATTTGCAAAATTATTTTGTTAAAACAGATTCTGATTGCACACATAAGTACTCTGAAGTTGACATTAAGAAGATGCTTGAGTTTCTGATTGACAACATCTATGTGGTTTTTGGAGACCAGGTATTCCAACAGTCTATTGGAATTCCCATGGGTACAAATTGCGCTCCTTTATTAGCAGACTTAATTTTATATTCATATGAAGCAGAATTTATGCAAAATCTTATGCGTGAAAAGAAGAAAACACTTGTTGTGGCCTTCAACTCCACATATAGACGACGTATTGTCAATTAACAATGGCATTTTCCATTCTGATCTGGATACAATATATCCTGGTGAGCTTGAGATAAAAGATACCACAGAGTCCGACACATCTGTTTCATACTTGGATATTTTACTTGAAAAAGACACTAATGGTAATCTAACAACCAAGCTATATGATAAACGTGATGACTTTAACTTTTCTATTGTCAACTTCCCTTACTTATGCAATAATATAACTTCATCACCTGCATACGGAGTACCGGTATATATATCTCAGTTGATTCGATACGCAAGAGCATGCTCTACGTATGAACAATTTCTAAAACGAGGTAAATTATTGACAAACAAGATTATGAAACAAGTCTATCAGCAGTCTCGTTTAAAGTCATCATTTCGTAAGTTCTATGGTCGATACAATGACCTTGTCAGCAAAAACAGTTTATCATTGAGTCAAATGCTGAATGACGTTTTTCATACCACTTGTTAGTCCATTATTTATACACTGAATTGACGACGGATTTTTTCCCGTTATTTCCTGATCATGACAAGGAGCACACGGTGGGTATGACCGGTCAGCAGGGGATGCTCACTCCTCCATGGCACCTGATCCCACCTCTGATGTTTCGGAGGTCCGTGTTTGCTCTGCTCTTATTTTGTATTGTTTTATGGACTTTGAGATTGAATACTGTTCGTTATCTCCATACCCTTCTCCACAACTATGTGAGGTATAAAGTTAAAACTTTTACATTGTATAAATATATCATTAATTAACAGAAAGAAAGTATATTAAGAAAACAATTACTTTAAGTGCATATTTTTAAAGTAAATAATATTATATATATAAAAAAAAATTTGGATATTGTTGTTTTAAAAAATTCATCTGTTTTGTGCTGTACTTTTAGTGAAAACCATCATTGTAGAAATAATACAAGTTTATCAATGAAGGGCAAGTTGGACGTGAATGGTCTCTGAGAGGCTTTTATTGAAAGCATGATGGTTTTTTTTTACTTTTAATTCGACTATGAAATGTTCCCTCAAATTGATCAAAACCTTGCTCACGGAGGTATTACCAGTCTGTCAGCAGGAGATGATTACTCATGCTATAACATCTAATCTCTGGATTTTCACGGGGACTGTGTAGATGCTCTGGTAACAAGTTTGTGTTGTTTGTAGATTTTTTTATCAAGCACTTTCATGCTTAAAGTTATGACAAATTACAAATACTAATATAGAAATCAAACTGATCAAGAATTTCGTGGAATTTCTATACAAAGTATTTTTTGAGACACTGTATGTAGCAAATCAATGAAATATAAGAATATAACGAACAGTATTCAAGCTCAGAAGTACATTTAACAATACAAAATCGGAGCAGAGCTAACTCTGACCTCCGAGACATCAGAGGTGGGACCAGGTACAATGTAGGGATGAGAATCCCCTGCCGACCGGTCACACCCGCCGTGCGCTCCTTGTCATGATCTGGAAATAACAGAGCATCCGTCGTCAATCCACTTTAAAATTGATGGCCTAAGAATTGGAATGAAAAACGTCAGTCAGCATTTGACTCTATGATAAATTGTATTTGCTGACAACGTCATTGTATCGACCATAAAACTTACGAAATGATGACGAGGCTGCTGTTATTCTTGTTTCATCAACTTGTTTGTCAATAATTTACATCGTTTTAGAAATTGTACATGTGTAGAACATGCACTTGAAAAGTCATCACGTGTAAAATCACCATTAACGTCTTTTGCAAGTAAAATATCCAAATGCGAAACAGATGTGTCAGACTCTGCGGTATATCTGTGGTATATTTTATCTGGAGCTCACTAAGATATATCGTATCGACATAAGAATGAAAAAAAAACAGTGTTAATGGTTATTCAATGTAATGAAATATATTGTAGAGATTTTAATTGTTACTGAATTTGTATACATGTAATTGAAATCAAACTTAAATTGTACAACTTAGAATATATTAAAAAATTTCACAGCCTATGTCTTAGTCATAGCAGAACTTTAAATATTAAACTTAAAATAAATATTAAACATCGCATGATAAAGTTTGATTGAAATTTTAATAACAAATGAATAACTCAAAGCATTTTCCATGGCATATGAAATATAACATTTGTTTTGCAAACACTTGTTCACAATTCGTCGGCAATTTCTATAGACCTGTTCTCATGCTTACTCGTAAATCCCTCCACAAGGGCGTCGTGTAGGAAAATGTACTCATCCTATATGAGAAAAAAGAATTTAAAGTAAATTCAATTGTTTTAAATCACTTTAAGACAATTCGTATCAAAGATACATTTTTTCTCTCGTTATTGACACTTAGGTAAAATGAGTGTAATTATGTATGTCTGCGCGCGAGAGAGAAGAGAAAGAGAGAGGACATACTGTAGATTGTACAGCATAGGCCCGCTGCTGCCTCAATATCTGGATATAGCCAACAACATCTAGGTAACCAGTCGATATTCCCTCATCTAGGAGGTAATCCAGGGCAATAAATGTCCCCGTGCGCCCCACCCCCGCACTGATGAGTAAAAGGTGCAATAGAATAACACTAGTTAACAACATAATAAAGTTTCTGCTTCAGGGTTATGACATATGGTAGATATAGTATTTTTCTGTATTATATATGTCAGTAAACCTTCATTTAAAGACTCTTTACCTGCAATGGACGATGATAGGACCGTCATCATCAGAAACATCGCTCATGACGAGATTTCTAAAGAGGAGGAGAGAGTCGACGTTATTGGGTACCCTTGTTGTGTACCACGCTGTATACTGATATTGTTTTACCACTCTCTCTTCAATGCCCTGAAATGTTCAAATATACTTTATTTCATAAAAAATGCACATAAGAACTTCCTGTAGTGCTGATAGACCTTACCTTAAAGTTTGCTAAAATGTAAAAAAAAAATCCTTTCTATTCTAGAACCCAAATGCAAATTGTTGAGAAATGTTTAACGTTTAATTTTTATCAATGGCATGTCTGTTTTCAAACACGAAATCTGTAAAATGGATTGTTACGTTACCAATTTAAGTTTGATATGTCTTATTATGTATCTTCTGCAGGTGTTTTGTCTCTCAGTCTTGATCAGGAAAGGTCCTATTAAAGCCTCGGTATTTGGCCAATATTTTAAACATTTCATCTGAAAAAATATATGCATATATTTTATTATTTTTCATTCATAATGTTATAAAATGTAAAAAAAAAAAAAAAAAAAAAAAAAAAAAAAAAAAAAAAAATCCCAAAAAAACAGGTACTGCAAATGTATAATATGTGTGAGTTTATTCAATTTTTCAATAAGTTGGTGTACAATATATATTTTACGCATCTCTAAATTTTGGTGAAAATAACAACCTCAATAAATATAATGCGTAACTAAATTATAATTAACCAGAATATTCATAAATACATTTACAATGATGCAATAAAGCTTAAAAATATTTCTCCTATATGTAGTATTTAAGTTATTTTACATTTCCTTCTTCTGTAAGATTTGTTAACATGACGATCTTCACACTTCTCATCTGCCACACCATCCTCCAAAAATCTAAAACTGTCTCCTCAGTAAACGGACCTAGAAGTTAATTAATTTCTTTAGCAAAAAGTAGGAAATGTAGGTTTATATTGATTATAAATATTATACGATACAATTTTTCATGTATTGGACATGCATTTCGAACAATATTCATGCTCAAAAGTCCAAAAACTAGTGACTTCGTATGCGCAATTATCTTTTTTATTTACTGCAGAGATGCTTTTTCCAGTTAGAATCTTCAAAGTCTCCGGCATACAAAATAAGCATCCTCTATCTTTTATCAGTAATTTGTTAAAAGAACCCTTCACATATGTGAATGCTATGTGCATTCACTTTTTCTAGTAACGAAATATCGCTTTACGACAGCTTATCAAAGAAAATTTAATTCATTCATCCATATAAGCAAATACATTTTATCAGTAAGTCAAATGCTTGCTGACTTTTTCATACTGATTATTAGGCCATTATTTATACACCGAGCTTTCCGCGGATTTTTTCGTTTATTTTCTTTTCCCGAACATAATAAGGAGCACATGGCGGATGTGGCCGATCGGCAGGGGATGCTCACTTCTCAATGGCAACATGTTCCCATCTTTGATGTTTTGAAGGTCCTTGTTCGCTCTGCTCCTATTTTGTACTTTTAATTCTTGAGCTAGAATACGTTCGTTATCGCCACATATTTCATCATCAAATCAACATTTTGCTTTTGGAAACGCAATTTCGTTCAAGCCTTTAATCTGTTATAATATGAAACACTAATTTGGGCTATATTCTTTTTTCACTTTTTTATTTTGAAATATAAGAACAAATTTGCCTCCACGTATCAAAATGAATGTGTTTGAGTGAGAAATTGAGAGCGAATGGCATGTTAAAAGAAATACTTCACACTGTAATATGTTTATAATAAGATGAACAAATAGATATATGAATTTAAAGAAAAAAACTTATTAAATTATTGGACGAACTTGCATTCTGTGATTCTGTTTTTAAAATGTATTCAAATGATCTTTAAATTGAAATGGATGAATAAAAGTGGTGTCAATGAAAAAAAAAATCATTTTTAGGCTATATACATTTTTTTAAGTTAACACATTTGATACCTTGTGAAGCTATGTATGCCCGTTGTTTGTGAAAACCCTGTAAATGAAAACAGACAATAAACATATCACAGGGAAGGAATTTGTCACAGATTTAGGTTTTGTACAACGATCAAATCTGTTTCTAGATAAAACTTTCATTTATATGGTAAATAAATATTTTTAATGAAGCTTGAAACGTACATGTACAAAACAGGCATTAATGTAATCAGAACTTCCTGGAAAATCGGAAGTATCAAGGACCACACGACTGGAATCATCTACAAAAACAATCAGAATAGCATACATGTGGGGTTATTTCTCGTACCATTGATCTCTACAACTGATACAAATCTCAGGTTTTATTGAAAGAATTGGAAGTGAATATAGATATTATAAGTATTCAATTAATTATGGGAAAGATAAAAATTCTGCATAGCTAATCCTGCTATTTCCTGTAGATTTTACAAAAATGCTAATTAAACATGTACATGTAAGAGGAAACACCATACGTATTCAGTTCTATATATAAAAAATGCACTGTATTTGCTCAGAAATCTTACTCGTTCAAATTCATATCCTCAAAATTTCCGTCTCATAAATTTATGCACTTGTGAAAGTTATCTTTATTTATGATACTTAAACAAAAAGGAAAATATTTCCAAAAGATTTAAAGAAATCCAATAAAACACATATTTAAACATCTACTTACATGGATATACTTTTTTATATCTATTTCTAGATTTATTCTTCGTCTTATAAGTAGCTATTGTACAGTGTATCATCATTTGAGACACAAAAATCCCTGGGAACCAAATAGGTACTCATCCTTTCTTGTCTTGATCTTTAAATTTCTATTAACTTTTATGTTTCATTATCAAGTTTTCAAACTAAAATGCAATTGCTTTTTTATTTCGCAGTTGTTTGCACAAAAATAAGTTGGACAATAAAAATTATATAGGGATCGATAATGTATTTAACAAAATACCTTGAATTCTCTTCGAAATGCATGATTAAGTTTCTTATGATGTACATTTAGTATGAATTCATCTACTGTCATTCTGTTGGAATCATTTATGTACTGGGCTGATTCCAGGTCGGCGTAGGGATTGGTCTGTGACATCGGTTCCAATTCTATATCTTGAGTCTCAATGAAACCATATGTGTCTCCTTGATTGGAAGATTGACACAGTTTTCTGATTATGATGATGATACAGATGGTTATGAGCACCAGTACAAGGATTATCCCTCCTCCTGCCATCATCATGGTCATTGTTTCTTCAGAAATATACAGCTTTTCGCCTTAAAATGAAGTATATCAACATCAACACTATTCATATCTAAAAGG